GTTTGTTTGTTTGTTTATTCCATTGTTGTGAAACTAAAAACGAATTTAGGGTCCATCGTAAATTAGTTTTTGTCCATTTTTTTATTAGCTATTTTAAAAATGGTCAAAATTTATTCCAGGGTCTTGGGAGTTTGTGGAGATTCGACAAGAGGATGGGGTGCCAGGGTCACTTTAAGAGCGATCTGGTCCCTGTCTAACCAAAACATTACCTGTTCAAAGTCGAGCTCTTTGATGGTGATGGTTGGACTCTGTCAGGGCTGCTTCTTGTCTCACGACCTGTTTGTGGTGTTCATTGACAGGATTTCCAAACGCAGTTGAGGAGAGTTTAACATTAACTATGTTTCCAGCTGAATGTAAATTGTCTGGGATCAGACTCGTCTCTTCTCTGAAGCCAAGAGTGACCAGGTTCAGTTTTAGATATAGGCTGAGGAGCTCTGCAGAGCCGCTGCTCTGCCAACAACAAAACATCAACAGGTTGTTTTGGGCATCTGATTGGGATGCCTTGCTCTGAAATTTTTCTGGACACACCCCATTGGGAGAAGAACCCAGGGCAGACCCAGAATTTGCTAGAGGGATAATGGATTCTCTCTGGCCTGAACAGTTCAGAATCCTGCAGGAAGACCTGAGTGCTGATGAGGAGAAGTATATGCCATGTCTGTTCACTCCTGGATCTGCAACCAGACCACAAATATAGTAAGAAAATGGATGGATGGATGGATGGATGGATGGATGGATGGATCATATAAACATTAATTAAAATTGAAGTTAATGATGTTTCGCAACATTGAGGAATGACAATTTTGAAAGAAGCACAGAGGAAGAGAACTACTGCAGCTGAAGGCTTTGACATACAGCCAGCCTCAAACATCAATGATGTGTTTACTCAGGTTTCTTCTTGATGCTGTGCTTTGACATCTTCAGACTACAGTACATAAATTAAGTTTGCTCTCAAGTATAATCCATTGTTCAACCCTACCTGAATTCAAGTAGGCATAAAAAAAATTAGTGTTTTAATAGTGATTTAGTAATGATTGTGCTAACTCAAAGTATATATATAT